GAAGCTGTCTCCGCACCACGTGCTCTCACCACTGGTGTCCCCCAGGGCTCAGTTCTAGGCCCTCTCCTTTTCTCCCTATACACCAAGTCACTTGGCTCTGTCATATCCTCACATGGCCTCTCCTATCATTGCTACGCTGACGATACACAACTAATCTTCTCCTTTCCCCCTTCTGATAACCAGGTGGCGAATCGCATCTCTGCATGTCTGGCAGACATATCAGTATGGATGACGGATCACCACCTCAAGCTGAACCCTGGCAAGACGGAGCTGCTCTTCCTCCCGGGGAAGGACTGCCCGTTCCATGATCTCGCCATCACGGTTGACAACTCCATTGTGTCCTCCTCCCAGAGTGCGAAGAGCCTTGGCGTGACCCTGGACAACACCCTGTCGTTCTCCGCCAACATCAAGGCGGTGACCCGATCCTGCAGGTTCATGCTCTACAACATTCGGAGAGTACGACCCTGCCTTACACAGGAAGCGGCACAGGTCCTAATCCAGGCACTTGTCATCTCCCGTCTGGACTACTGCAACTCGCTGTTGGCTGGCCTCCCTGCCTGTGCCATTAAACCCCTACAACTCATCCAGAATGCCGCAGCCCGTCTGGTGTTCAACCTTCCCAAGTTCTCTCACGTCACCCCCCCTCCTCCGCACACTCCACTGGCTTCCAGTTGAAGCTCGCATCCGCTACAAGACCATGGTGCTTGCCTATGGAGCAGTGAGGGGAACGGCACCTCTGTACCTTCGGGCTCTGATCAGTCCCTACACCCAAACGAGGGCATTGCGTTCATCCACCTCTGGCCTGCTGGCTCCCCTTCCTCTGCGGAAGCATAGTTCCCGCTCAGCCCAGTCAAAACTGTTCGCTGCTCTGGCACCCCAATGGTGGAACAAGCTCCCTCACGACGCCAGGACAGCGGAGTCACTTACCACCTTCCGGAGACATTTGAAACCCCACCTCTTTAAGGAATACCTGGGATAGGATAAAGTAATCCTTCTACCCCCCCCCCCCCCCCCCCCCCCAAAAAAAAATTGTAAAGTGATTATCCCACTGGCTATAGGGTGAACGCACCAATTGGTGAGTCGCTCTGGATAAGAGCGTCTGCTAAATGACGTAAATGTGCCCTTGAGCAAGGCACTTAACCCTAATTGCTCCTGTAAGTCGCTCTGGATAAGAGCGTCTGCTAAATGACTAAAATGTAAAAAAAAATGTAATGTAAATGATATACTGTCTGATCGGGGTCCCCAGTTCACCTCTAGAGTCTGGAGGGCGTTTATGGAACGTTTGGGGGTCTCGATTAGCCTTACCTCGGGTTTTCACCCTGAGAGTAATGGGCAGGTGGAGAGAGTAAACCAGGATGTGGGTAGGTTTCTGAGGTCCTATTGCCAGGACCGGCAGGAGGAGTGGTCGGGTTATATCCCCTGGGCAGAGATAGCCCAAAACTCACTTCGCCACTCCTCCACTAATCTTACGCCTTTTCAGTGTGTGTTGGGTTATCAGCCGGTCCTGGCACCCTGGCATCAGAGCCAGATCGAGGCTCCTGCGGTGGATGAGTGGTTTCGGCGCTCGGAGGAAACATGGAACGCTGCGCATGTCCATCTGCAGCGGGCTATCAGAAGGCAAAAGGCGAGCGCCGATCGCCACCGCAGTGAGGGTCCGGTTTATGCACCGGGAGATCGGGTCTGGCTCTCGACCCGAAACCTGCCCCTTCGCCTGCCCTGCCGGAAGCTGGGTCGGCGGTTTGTGGGGCCATTTAAAGTCCTGAGGAGATTGAACGAGGTATGTTATAGGTTACAACTGCCCATAAATTACCGCATTAACCCCTCGTTCCATGTGTCTCTCCTCAGGCCGGTGGTAGCTGGTCCACTCCAGGAGAATGAGATACGAGAGGCTCCTCCGCCCCCACTAGACATCGAAGGGGCTCCGGCGTACTCAGTCCGTTCCATCATGGATTCGAGGCGTCGGATGGGGGGTCTGCAGTATCTCGTGGAGTGGGAGGGGTACGGTCCGGAGGAACGGTGCTGGGTCCCTAGGAGGGACATCCTAGATCCCTCCCTGTTGAGGGATTTCCACCGGAGTCATCTGACTCGCCCTGCTCCGCGTCCTCCTGGCCGTCCCCGAGGCCGGGGTCGGCGCACGGCTGGGGCCGCGCGTCAAGGGTGGGGTACTGTCACGGATTCTGCCGAGGCTGCTCCTCCTCCTTGCTCGGGCAGGCTTCGGCGTTCGTCATCCCCGGAGTACTAGCTGCTGCCGATCGATGTTTCGGTGTTTGTCTTGTTCAGTCTTGAGTGTTTACACCTGTTCGCTATTATGTTTGATTGTAGTCCCTATATTTACCCCTGTCTCTCGTTTGGTAAATTGTGTGTTATTGTTTTGTTTCCCGTAAGGTCGGCATTGCTGTGTCGTATGCGTGTATTTGTTTCCTCCCGGTTAGGAGGTTTTGTTTTGTATGTTCTTTTACTGGTTAGTAAAGTACGTCTGCCAGTAGCTCTGTGTCCTGCGCTTGACTTCGCTCACCGCATACACGTCGCCTTTGACACCCAGGTGTCTTTTATACAGGTAACGAGCTGAGATTAGGAGCACACTCTTAAAGGGAGTGCTCCTAATCTCAGCTTGTTACCTGTATAAAAGACACATGTCCACAGAAGCAATCAATCAATCAGATTCCAAACTCTCCACCATGACCAAGACCAAAGAGCTCTCCAAGGATGTCAGGGACAAGATTGTAGACCTACACAAGGCTGGAATGGGCTACAATTCCATCGGCCAAGCAGCTTGGTGAGAAGGTGACAACAGTTGGTGCGATTATTCGCAAATGGAAGAAACACAAAAGACTGTCAATCTCCCTCGGCCTGGGGCTCCATGCAAGATTTCACCTCGTGGAGTTGCAATGATCATGAGAACGGTGAGGAATCAGCCCAGAACTACATGGGAGGATCTTGTCAATGATCTCAAGGCAGCTGGGACCATAGTCACCAAGAAAACAATTGGTAACACACTACGCCGTGAAGGACTGAAATCCTGCAGCGCCCGCAAGGTCCCCCTGCTCAAGAAAGCACATATACAGGGCCGTCTGAAGTTTGCCAATGAATATCTGAATGATTCAGAGGAGAACTGGGTGAAAGTGTTGTGGTCACATGAGACCAAAATGGAGCTCTTTGGCATCAACTCAACTCGCCGTGTTTGGAGGAGGAGGAATGCTGCCTATGACCCCAAGAACACCATCCTCACCGTCAAACATGGAGGTGGAAACATTATGCTTTGGGGGTGTTTTTCTGCTAAGGGGACAGGACAACTTCACCGCATCAAAGGGACGATGGACAGGGCAATGTACCATCAAATCTTGGGTGAGAACCTCCTTCCCTCAGCCAGGGCATTGAAAATGGGTAGTGGATGGGTATTCCAGCATGACAATGACCCAAAACACATGGCCAAGGCAACAAAGGAGTGGCTCAAAAAGAAGCACATTAAGGTCCTGGAGTGGCCTAGCCAGTCTCCAGACCTTAATCCCATAGAATATCTGTGGAGGGAGCTGAATTGCAACTCAGTCAGAAGACATTAGCAATACCCCTCCTGTAAATGTTGTTTACTGCTGTTAAGTAGCCTAGCCTACCTGCACCTCACTCAAACTAAGGTGTTTGACAGCTTGTAAGGCATAATTTCTGTTCTCTATTCAAGGTCTTTATTGTTGCATGTGTGTAGCACGTGTGAGTAGCCTAGGCAAGCCTATCCTTGCCTGAGACCAGGCATGCATTAGCATAGATTCATGAATTAAACTGTCCATCTATTAATTGAAAACCGAATCCCCAACCCTGTAACATTGAATGCATCTTACCTGATAACGTTTAATCGCCAAAAGTTACAACATGTGGTGTATTTTAGTGTAGGCGACATCATATGAGAAGATTACAATCGGTAACAAAGCGTGGGAAGAAAACGATCAGCACAAGACTCACCTGTCCCAGGCTGTTTTACTGTTATAGCGCGCAGTCTGTACAGCCGGTTTGGATAGTTCGAGTCAGTTTGCTCTTGGTTTGTTTTTCAAATATCACATTGTGGCGACTCTCTTTGATATGATATCTGTTTGGTAAACCTTTACAAGCCGAAATTAAAGTTAGCAACTTACAAATGGTGTAGGCCAAAATGTGGCACCCTGTTGGCTGAAGTTATGTTAACTGGTTGACAACTTGACTGGCATTTTCGGCGCGTGAAAAATGTGTAGGCTATTTACATCAACAAGTAAACTAAAGCAATAACGGACCAAGCAGGACTCCTGTAGCTCAGTTGGTAGAGCATGGCGCTTGCATCGCCAGGGTTGTGGGTTCGATTCCCACAGGGGGCCAGTATGAAAAATGTATGCACTCACTAACTGTAAGTCGCTCTGGATAAGAGCGTCTGCTAAATGTCTAAAATGTAAGCAACCACAAGTCTAGTATCTGAAGTGTTCCTCATGATGAGAGCTCCAACAAAATGCTAAGTTCGGCTGTGACTTTAGCAACACAAATATAAAGCTTTCTTGGAAATCCTAAATAATTAAAATGGGTCTACTAATATAATGACTGAAGCAATTTAAAGCAGCAACTACTTAGTCACAGTGTCCTGTTATTTTATTGGATAGGCCTATGGATGGATGGATGACAAACTGACAACAATATTGGTGAATTGAGATAGCTTGCCTAGTTATCACCTTCACTTGGCTACATTCAAATGAAAGAGAATGGGATGAGGTGTAGCCTAGGCCTATTGAGGGAAAAAGGTGTCAACATGGTATAACAGCACTGTCATAGGGACATCATTTTCAGGAATATGCCCAATCACTTTACAAAGTAAGCCTATACGCCTAATACCACTGAGTGATTGCACATGTTACAGTTGACATAGGCCTCATACTATTGGAGAGATTAGGAGGGCTACACATTTGAGGTAATTGACCTTGACCGGTGTTGAGCTGAATGCATGATTGGAGGTTGAAGTGATGATAGGATAGGAGGCCTAGCTGGTCATGAACTTCCAACCGCTCCTACAGGCCACCAAGCTTAAGGCAGTGAGGTCAGGTGTCATGCTTTAAGTGGTTCAGAGGGTCGCAGAGTGTTTTCTGTGCCTCTGGACATGGAGTACCTGGCTGTCACAAAGGAAAAGTCTGCTCATAGACAGGTACGACATTTTGACCCCTGTGATGTAGACCTCCCACAGAAACAGCTGCAAAACATTCTAACCACACATACTGATTGAATCAAAGGTTATTCAGCAGCTAAGGGAGTGGTGGAGCAAACCTTCATAGAAGACATATGGAGCAGAATCGCAACCTTCACAGAGGCTTTACCCCTGTGAAAATATCCTTGATATATATGTCCTGAATATAAACCGTTTTGCTGTGTGTGGTGAAATCCCTTTGTCTCCTCTTCTTCGTGTCTGTGGTTTTCAGTGGCCCATATGCTTACGTCAGGTTGGTTTTGATACTGAGAAAACCCCCAACCAGCAGTACTAATCCCCCCCCAGGGCCAGAGGAGGCCCCACAGTCACAGACCTGCCTAGGCATGCACCTGCCAAGCAATTTCTGCTCCTCTGTCTACTCCCCTAGAGCGGATTCCCCCGGCATTCTGCCTCTCTCTGCCCAGGCCATGCTGCTTCTGTGCTCCTCTCCCACTCGGTTGAGACACGTCGCTCATGGCGAGAAGCGAGGCGAAGCAGACAGGCTCAGCGTGATATACGCACAACGCTCTGTGTGTGTGTGTGTGTTTGTGTGTGTGTGTGTGTGTGTGTGTGTGTGTGTGTGTACGATACGCCTGGCACCCACAGGCATTCCCCTCAGGTCTAAGACTCTCATTAGCACCTAGCCAAAGACACCCCTTGCTTTCATCTCGTCAGTCCATTACAGACCAAGTGAGGCACATCCTTTACAAACAAAATAGAAGAGGATGCAGAGCCTCAGCATGTAGCCTAAACACGCTAAGTCCACAAGAAAGCCCCGTGCGGTTAGGTAATTTACCTCATCAGACATCCACACGTCGCCTTCGAAACTGGTGCGTCAGCAGCAAACGTACCAGAGGGAGGCGGGGTGAGCCGATTGGCTATCGCAGTGCCAGGGATGGGCTCCACCAAGGCAGGCAGCTCCGTGCAGGGGCATCCACTCAGGTCCGCCCCATGGCAGGTTGGGAGATTAATGGGCAGTAGCACAGCTGGCAGACTGTGTAATTACGCAATTTAATCACTCAGTCACTCCAGACAGAGTGAAGTTAGCAACACTTGAACTCAGTGGCATTTCTGGGATTGGCAGATGAGTTTATACGGTCTTCCGTCATGCCTGAGTAAACACGGCTTTAGATTAATGGATAACAGAAAAAGATGGATAGATCAAAAATGATCACTCTCAAATTACCAGCACATAAGTCAGAGGTCTATTTTCATGCAAGGGAACATGAAATGTTGGGATCTATTTATTCAGTTGATCTCATTGGGATATTTTTATTGGGCCGACAGATATTTATGAATACGAACACATATTTCAAGTGTGTGTTTAAAATAACAAAACTCAGCATTGAAATTAGTTAGCGGTCTGACGCCTGGGTGAATGCAGTTGAAATGACTAGCTGATTTGAAACTTTTGAGATAGGACTGCTCGCTGTAATATACCTTGAACTAGTCACTTGTCTTCCCTCCATCTATATTTAGTCCAGAAATTGCATGATCTTTCTGAACATTATTGGTCAGTTAGTACAAGATGAACATGTGGCAGGCCAGGCAGTGATGGCTGTTGACAGTCTTGCATGTTCCATCAGCTTAGCTGCAGTACTAGCCAAGCCATTCAGCCTGCTGTCTCAGTGCGTAAGCCCCATTGGCAAGCAGTGATACCTGGGAGCCTGCTGTAACAATGCTCACCTGTATTCCAAAGGAGATCAAAAAGCAAAAGTGGGAGGAAGGAGGTGGTAGGAGGGGGGGGGCTGGGAAGCAAAGCGTACATGAGCTGTGAACTTTTTCCTCTGACTTCAATGGCTTGGCTTTTGTGTCGGGGTGGGTTGCAGCAGTGCGCTCATCTGTCAGAGTCAGTGGCTGCCGTGATAGAGTTGCGCCCCGCGGCGGGCATGAGGTCTTCCCGAGTGGCGCTCTGATTTGATCAGCGTTGATTGTTCCCCATGATCCTCTCTCTCTCTCTCTCTCTCTCTCTCTCTCTCTCTCTCCTCTCTCTCTCTCCTCTCTCTCTCTCTCTCTCTCTCTCTCTCTCTCTCTCTCTCTCTCTCTCTCTCTCTCTCTCTCTCTCTCTCTCTCTCTCTTTCTCTCTCTCTCTCTCTCTCAGTCTCTCCCACACGTCCTCTCTCACACTCTAAAATGTCTGTGTATGCTGATGAAAAAAACAGTACAGTACAATATCATAAAACAGATAAGGATCATGAATGCTCTGTCTCTTGAGAGAAGCTACTGCTAAATTATAGTACTGTCAATTTAGCTTACAGGACTTAATATCTGCAGCAATGCGTTGTGGTGCATGGTCGATTGCGCCACATCGCATAGGTAGGTAAGGGCATGGTTGTGTGTTTATGAAAGTTGCATACACTCGCAAATAAATAAACAATAAAACCTAAAAATCACATAACTACTTTATGGCAAACATAGCATCTTCTGGAAGGTGCAGTTTTGTTTGAGCCTGTCGTCACAGTAAGCATGTTAAAACATGGACGTAGAAAACATCACCTTTTCCTCTCCTTCCCTTATCTAAGGAGAAAAAGCAGGCAATTAAAGTTAATTACCTCGATGAAACTATAATGGTTTCTGGCATCCCTGGCTGATCTGGGCTGTCTCGTTGTTGTGATTAATCCATGTTTAAGCACATCTATGCCAGCCCACTGGTGAGGCACAGGGAGTTTCAGGAATACCATATGTCCGATACAACACATGGTACCCACTGAACTGCATACACACACACACACACACACACATCACATATCATCAATAGGAAAGCCACAAATTAGGCTAATAACAGAGAATTGAGCATGTGTGTTGTTTGTGTTTGTCTTATCCAGAGGAGAAACTAACAGACAGGTTAGCGTGTGTTATCTTTCGGGTCATCAGGATCTGTGGGGGCTAACAAGAGGGAGCACTTTGTCAATACTAAAAGGTAATATCCCTTTCCTGAAGAGGGGCTATTAGCTTCTGTATCTGCAACTGCAACTGCATTAAGCACTCATGAAGTCAATAAAACACTCACCAAGTCAACCCAACCACCACAGAAAAACAATAATCAACCCTACCTACTGCAAAACCAAGTCTGAGCACAGAATACATTAGAACCAATGGGACAAAAAGTTGCATTTTGTATATCGAGAGGCAATCCTCTTTCTTTCTTTGAACAATATGCCACTGTGGAGGGCTGCCCTGGCATATATAACCCTCCCTGCCATCGAGGCAGTGAGTTGAGGGAGTGTCCTCTATACTCAATGGCAGCAGATCCTATAGATGGCTTCTCCTGAGAGACTGTGTAGGGTAGGTGCTAGGCAGTAATATACTGTAGGTCTGGATGGGCTGGTACATGATACACTCCCTTCCTCCCTCCCTCCCTCTCCCTGTGTTGCAGGTCCCTAGCCTTGGGGCAGCAGTACTCGTCTCTGGGCTCCCAACCCATCCTGTGTGGCTCTATCCCTGGCCTGGTGCCCAAGCAGCTGCGCTTCTGTCGCAACTACATCGAGATCATGCCCAGTGTGGCCGAGGGCGTGAAGCTGGGCATCCAAGAGTGCCAGCACCAGTTTAGGGGGCGCCGCTGGAACTGCACCACCATCAAGGACAACCTGGCCATCTTCGGGCCTGTGCTGGACAAAGGTAGGCATCTAACTGTAACAGGACTGTTTGTTTAAAGAATACAAATATACTCCTTCCTCTATACTGCCAATGAGGTATTCGTATGAGGGATGTAACTGATATATCTTTGGGATATATGAATTACAGCCAAGTATCATATAAAACATACAAAAAATGAATTGCTGTACAACAACCATGAAATTCGACTCCTTAGTCAAATGTGAGATAATCTGACTTCAGCAGGGGATTGCAGGTTCTATGAGGAAACTACTTTTTCTCATAGCAGTGATAAAAACATTAAAGGACATATCAGTGAGAAAATGGGAAATGCACCCATTTTGTGTAAACAAATGTGAGGTAAACTGACATCAGGATAGAATAACCTGTTGCTCTGCTGCTGAGCACTGCCTGTTCCCTGTGCTCCTACTGACAAATGATATACACCTTTCCTTACTGCAGTGAGAAATGAGCGCCGGTACCAGCACTGACAGATTATTCAATGTCCATCCATCTCTCTACCTTCAACATCACATTTGTCTTTTGAGTCTGTGTGTCTTCTTCTGGGCTTCCCAACCTTGTTGATGTTGTCAGACATGAAAGAAGGTTAGTTAGTATTGTAAATCTCTCAAGATTAGTTCACACAATTACAGTTGATACACAGTTGTTACAGTTAATACATTGGAGATCATCTACCAGGCTTTTTACACTGAATACTAATCATCAACGGTCTTAAAACTGACTGGGTGCTTTAAACAATCTGATACAAAAACACAGAACGCACTAAGAAAACAGAACACGGGGTGCTCGGAGTAGGCATTTAAATCCCTAATGATAAAGATGGGTCTTTGTGTTGCGGAGTGAGGCTGCTGATTGGATATTAATTAGTCTGCGTGTCAGAGGGGAAGGGATCTGGGGAGGAATGGGGCAGTGTGAACCTCCCTCGGTCTCCTAAAAATAAATAAAAAAAGGGAGCGGGGAGGCCAAATGAGATTACATGCAATAGAAAGGGTCTGGGGGGCTCAGCTCAACCCCTACTGTGCCTGAAGACCAGTGCGCGCCTCACACAGCCCGGATCCCACGGACGCCCCATTCACACGCCCTTTTGACTCTGTCATGAAAACAGGCTGAAAGGGAATCTCCCAACCTAACCCAGGCATGTTGGGGTGAGGTGGAAGGAAGGCAGGGGGTGCTGGCGAAGGAGGGGGGCAGCCTGAGTCGGGAGTGACGGCATGGGGTTGGCGAGGGAGGAGGTCCCAGACCAGGGTGGCTATACCAGTCCACCACCACCTTACCCACTATGGTGTTTATGGGGGTGGTGGTGGCTACAGGCGGAAAATGGGGGGTTGAGGGTGCATAGTGGCGGTGGTGGTAATGGAGGATGGGGTTTCAGGGTGGTGGCGGAGAGAGGGTGTTGGAGGGATGGGAGTTTAGGGATTGCCAACTCTGGGCAGAGCGGGGCTGCAGGGGCGCGAGTCGCTGGGCCCTTTGTGTGGGTAATCTAGTGTGACACAAGGGAAACAAAGGCGGATTGATGGGCCCAGTAGGTAGCAGGAGCAGCGCAGCCTTGGCTGACAGCCAGAGTTCCAGGGGCCCACAGCTCACAGGCCCCCGTTGTGGAGAGCCCAGCAGGGCTTGCCAGGGCTAGCTGGGACTCCCGCTCGCCTCCCTACCAGAGGTGTGTGCGATCCAGGTTTTAGCACAAAAATGATGCTTTATAGCGGTTTACCTAGAATGAAGCACACTGGAAAACATTTTTGAGACAATTTCTTTAATCATGGTTTTGTGACCATATATTTACAAGATGTATTATCTGATTGGATATTGTGTGAGACATGTTGTCATGTAGATAACAGGGGTGATGTTTAGTGGTAGTCTAGTGACTGTATTACATTTCCACTTCCCAGGATTTCCCATCAGCCATATGACCGCTCACCCTATTATGAATTATGACTCTATTCAGCCATTCACATAAAGGTTTCACTCAAACAAAGGCTGTGTATTATAAATGCAAAAAACAACATCAACAGGATATCGTCATGAAAGGTTGAGCGCTAATTAACTTTAAATGTCCCCTAGCAACCCAAACTACAACTTTTTCAAGTATGTTTCTCTCTGTTTAATGCAAATGAACACTACAAAGACTTGTAGATCGACTTACACTGTAGAATAACTAACTTCCCTGCAGGTGTTTAGTAGAGAACACTACTAACTGCAGTCCGTTTTAGAGGGGCTAGGCCTCCCTAGATACTTTAACAGTGGATCTATTGCAGAGTGGGGCCTCCCCATACCCTCCGTGTGTGTGTCCCTGCCTGTGTGTGTGCAGTGTGAGGTGGTGCAGCAGAGAAATGGGTAAGCCTTCAGCCCACAATAAGTGTGCTGCGATTGTGAAACAATGGTGTCTGGTTACATAATAAGTTGTTGCATTCAAAGGAGGCGTAACTCCATCTCTCAGCACAAACACGCAGCGGAGCAGAGCAGACGCACTGCTCAGTTTCTACCCAGAGGCCCTGTGGGTTCTGACAGGGGGAGGAGGAGGAGATGGGGGGGACGACATTCCTGAAACACTTTCCAATGCAAAACAGCACACCTCAGGGATGACAGAAGGTCAGTGAGATCACACTGAGCATTAGGCCATACTGACACCAGCCACAATTTGGTGATGCCACAGCTAGGGGACATGAAGCCATCTCTACGACGCTTTCCAAAATCTGTAGAACATGCCACCTCCCCAAAAAATTATTGATCACTGATTTATCGTTACCCAAAAAATGGATCAATTCATCGCAATATGGATTTTTGTCCATATCGCCTCGCTCTATGGTAGTGAATGATCAATATTGAGAAGATGTTGAGTTGATGAGAGTGAAGAGAATTTCACCCGGTGTTTTCTACACAGATCAGAGCCCAATGTTTTAAATCCTCTCAAGGACTTTTCTCTGAAAAAACATTCTTGCAGTACATTGTGTGTCAACCAAGTATTTATTGCTATGATGTATGAATACCTGCTTGAAGGTGAAAAGCTGTGTTAATATTTTTGTGCCCAAGGGTGTCATTTTCATTACCCCTGATGTATGGAAGTTGGCAGCAATGAAGATTACAGAAACTGTTTGGTTAAGAAGATGGTACTAAAGATTCATTGATTGAATTTACTTTTTCCTTCTTCTCTCTAGCGACCAGAGAGTCGGCGTTCGTCCACGCCATCGCCTCTGCGGGTGTGGCGTTTGCTGTGACGCGGTCCTGTGCTGAGGGCACGTCCACCATGTGTGGCTGTGACTCCCACCACAAGGGTCCACCAGGGGAGGGCTGGAAGTGGGGCGGCTGCAGCGAGGACGCTGAGTTTGGGGTGCTGGTGTCCAGAGAGTTTGCCGATGCCAGAGAGAACCGTCCCGACGCACGCTCTGCTATGAACCGACACAACAACGAAGCAGGACGCACGGTAAATATGCCTACACTGAGGATTTACTGTACAACTAGAATGGATATATTGGCTATACATACTATACAGTTAATTATACAACAGTTGGTAACACAAAGCCATGCATGTAATGTAAATACACATATGTAACACTGTTGACTACACAGCCAAGCAGGATGCAGTGTATAAACTTTAGTACACTTCACTACATAATGATACTGGACACACCCAGCCTCGGAGCCGAAGAAAGGTAAAAAGCACAGTAGTAAAAAGACAATGAACAAAGATCTACAGTGAGGGAAAAAAAGTATTTGATCCCCTGCTGATTTTGTACGTTTGCCCACTGACAAAGACATGATCAGTCTATAATTTTAATGGTAGGATTATTTGAACAGTGAGAGACAGAATAACAACAAAAAAATCCAGAAAAACGCATGTCAAAAATGTTATAAATTAATTTGCATTTTAATGAGGGAAATAAGTATTTGACCCCTCTGCAAAACAAGACTTAGTACTTGGTGGCAAAACCCTTGTTGGCAATCACAGAGGTCAGACGTTTCTTGTAGTTGGCCACCAGGTTTGCACACATCTCAGGAGGGATTTTGTTCCACTCCTCTTTGCAGATCTTCAAGTCATTAAGGTTTCGAGGCTGACGTTTGGCAACTCGAACCTTCAGCTCCCTCCACAGATATTCTATGGGATTAAGGTCTGGAGACTGGCTAGGCCACTCCAGGACCTTAATGTGCTTCTTCTTGAGCCACTCTTTTGTTGCCTTGGCCATGTGTTTTGGGTCATTGTCATGCTGGAATACCCATCCACTACCCATTTTCAATGCCCTGGCTGAGGGAAGGAGGTTCTCACCCAAGATTTGACAGTACATGGCCCCGTCCATCGTCCCTTTGATGCGGTGAAGTTGTCCTGTCCCCTTAGCAGAAAAACACCCCCAAAGCATAATGTTTCCACCTCCATGTTTGACGGTGGGGATGGTGTTCTTGGGGTCATAGGCAGCATTCCTCCTCCTCCAAACATGGCGAGTTGAGTTGATGCCAAATAACTCGATTTTGGTCTCATCTGACCACAACACTTTCACCCAGTTCTCTGAATCATTCAGATGTTCATTGGCAAACTTCAGACGTCCCTGTATATGTGCTTTCTTGAGCAGGGGGACCTTGCGGGCGCTGCAGGATTTCAGTCCTTCACGGCGTAGTGTGTTACCAATTGTTTTCTTGGTGACTATGGTCCCAGCTGCCTTGAGATCATTGACAAGATCCTCCCGTGTAGTTCTGGGCTGATTCCTCACCGTTCTCATGATCATTGCAACTCCATGAGGTGAGATCTTGCATGGAGCCCCAGGCCGAGGGAGATTGACAGTTCTTTTGTGTTTCTTCCATTTGCGAGTAATTGCAACAACTGTTGTCACCTTCTCACCAAGCTGCTTGGCGATGGTCTTGTAGCCCATTCCAGCCTTGTGTAGGTCTACAATCTTGTCCCTGACATCCTTGGAGAGCTCTTTGGTCTTGACCATGGTGGAGTGTTTGGAATGTGATTGATTGATTGCTTCTGTGGACAGGTGTCTTTTATACAGGTAACAAGCTGAGATTAGGAGCACTCCCTTTAAGAGTGTGCTCCTAATCTCAGCTCGTTACCTGTATAAAATACACCTTGGAGCCAGAAATCTTTCTGATTGAGAGGGGGTCAAATACTTATTTCCCTCATTAAAATGCAAATCAATTTATAACATTTTTGACAATGCGTTTTTCTGGATTTTTTTGTTGTTATTCTCTCTCACTGTTCAAATAAACCTACCATTAAAATTATAGACTGATCATTTCTTTGTCAGTGGGCAATCGTACAAAATCAGCAGGGGATCAAATACTTTTTTCCCTCACTGTACTTGTTTGGCAATAGGATGGAATTATCCACAGTAAACGTTACAGTACCAGATTACTAATTCTGTGACAGGAAGGATTTCGGTATTTGACTTAAATTCAGTGCACATTTCTGTGAGTTTCCGCCTGAAAAGTAGCACTTCATCTTGAATCACTGGGTAATTATCTGATGTAAAAAAGTCGCCCCTGCCTTTCATGCCTCACGTCCCATCCGAAATTCCCTGACAGACAAATAACCTGAGTTAGTTGAGAAGGGAATCACCCCGGACTTAAACCATCACTCGCTGCTGTCATTGCTCAGTGAAATATCTGGCGAGCTACTCCTCACCAGCACGCTGAGGGGCAATTGGAGAGACCACACGGCAACAAGGCAGCCTTTTGATCTGACTAGACAGGAGCAGGGAGACCACAGGAGCCGCAAAACGGCAGGTAGCCCTGTCAGAACCCCTCTCTCTCTCCCTCTATCCCTCTCTCTATCACCCTGATCCCAGTCGCCCCACCTGGCCCTCTCACGCTCCATTGTTTACCCCCAGGGCTGACAAGCCCAGGACATGATGTCAGAATTAAGAACCCCTCACCGCCCCCACTCCCCTCTCGCCCAAAGGTGCCACAAACACCTGCCTTCCGCCGCAGCTGGGGGAATTCTGCAGCTAAATATAGCCAGAGAATTCAAGCTAAACAAATCTAAACAAAGGCGAAGAGAGCCGGTGGCATTGCTCAGGTGAGCGCAGTGACTTCTGAGGGAATTAGCTGCTGTACACTGCAAAGGCCTGCCTCTGTTTCACAGCTGCCTGAACCACACCTGAAGACTCAGCCAAGTAGCATGTTGTTCTCAACCTACAAGTCGGTAGTCACTAGCCAGGTTATTGGTAAGAACAGTTCATCAAACGGACTGTCCGTTAGTAGACTAAACAATGCAGGCAATAGACACACATGCCCCTAGACTAAACAAACTGACACCCAGACTAAAAAAATCAACATCAGACAAAATTAGAATTAATATTGACAAGCTACCAATTGAAATCACATTTACACTGTGCTGAAAGAAAACAGGATTATTCTATCAGTTTCTGAGCTGTTCCCTCTTCCTCTTTTTCTCTCAGACCATCCTGGACCACATGCACCTGCGCTGTAAATGTCATGGCCTGTCTGGCAGCTGTGAGGTGAAAACGTGCTGGTGGGCACAGCCCGACTTCCGCATGCTGGGCGACTACCTGAAGGACAAGTATGACAGCGCCTCAGAGATGGTGGTGGAGAAGCACCGCGAGTCGCGCGGCTGGGTGGAGACGCTGCGCGCCAAGTATGCCTTCTTCAAACACCCCACGGAGCGTGACATGGTCTACTACGAGGGCTCACCCAACTTCTGCGAGCCCAACCAGGAGACGGGCTCGTTCGGCACCCGCGACCGCGCCTGCAACGTGTCCTCGCACGGCATCGAGGGCTGCGACCTGCTCTGCTGCGGCAGGGGCCACAACACCCGGACTGAGAAGCGAAAGGAGAAGTGCCACTGTATCTTCCACTGGTGCTGCTACGTCAGCTGCCAGGAGTGCGTGCGCGTCTACGATGTGCACACGTGCAAGTGAGAGCCTGTGTGCTCGCTCAGACAGACGGACAGAATGATGGACACAGCGCCCATCGCAGACATACAAACACAAACACACACACTGCAGTCCTTGCATATATACAGACAGACAGACACACAGGCACCAATGAGGAATGGCACTTTGTACTGGAACTCTATTCTTCTGCACCCTTGTAATAAAAATCCCCAATATCCTTCCTCCAAGCCCTGCATCCTCCTCCTCCATTTGAGTAGAGAGTTCCACTAATGGACATATGGGAGGGCCCATTTCCATTGGAACAAGCTGTCAGTTTGACCTGTTCCCATTGCTGCACCATTGGGCCATGAACCCTTCTTTATTTATTACCCCCACACACGGCTGTGGTACCTAACATGTGAGATTACTGCAGTATCCGATGACTTTCCAGACCGTTGTTATCGAATGGACATCTTTTTAATTAACACCTGATTCCACCAGTCAATCACCTGGCTGGTCGACTATTGAGAACTAAACCAACTCCCCAACGTCACTCATCGGTCCAAACAGTACTAAACACACAGCGACAGCCCAGGAACCTACTACTTTAACTACTGAACCCACTGAGCGGCTGTTACTGGACCCTGCCCTCCTAAACTAAACTACTGAGCTGATGAAATCTCCTCTTTCCCCACCTCTGCACACTGTACTGATACTGAACTACAGCGGTCACCTAGCTGCGATGCCTGGAAGATATGCTAGAGCCTGATTTTATAGCCCCACATTTCTGAAATATTAGCAATGGGCCAGGACTGGAGGTGGTATACAGGAGGGGACATGTGCAGGAAACAAACGCACTCGTTTCCACTAACGAACATTTCTGCAAGTATGCACTATTCCGCTGAACAAGAACTGTCTAGAGGTGGTAAAATGTTGGCTATTGCTATTTATGAGAGCAAATGCATTCTTCTTGTCTTAACCAGTTTCGTTACATATAGTAATACAAATGAGATTGTTAATCTCATTCAGACCAGAGACATTTTGCTGTAATCCCCCTTGAGTATGAAACAGTAGTTTTACAGTATATGAGGAAGTTATAATGAATTATAAACTGGGTGGTTCGAGCCCTGAATGCTGATTGGCTGAAAGCCATGGTATGTCAGACCGTATACCACGGGTATGACAAAACATTTATTTTTACTGCAGTTTATAATAGCAATAAGGCACCTCTGGGGTTTGTGATATATGGCCAATATACCACGGCTAAGGGCTGTGTCCAGGCACTCAGCGTTGTGTCGGGCATTATTGCTTAAATGTCATATAGAACAAAACATTCACAACAAACAGGTAGAGTTCAGGTATAAGAGACTTCATTGGATTCATCCATCACCAGTTTATTTTGAACTTGCAATAGGCCTAATGCTAATGAATGATTCTACTCATAGCAGTCATACAACGACAATGAGATGACCATCTATCCAACACACTGACAATCCATTTCATTATGTTCCTCATAGTACTGTGAAATCCTTGTCTAAGCTAAACCCTTCTCTCACCAGTGAAATGTGATGACAAGTGGAGACCAGAGGGGAGAGAGCAGAAAGTATCCTAATAGGATTCAATAGGCCTCTTTCCTCATCACCTTCCCTGGATTGCCACTGATGTGAAATGTCATGACAATAGAAACAATATGGTGGAAACCTGTTCAGAGATTTGAAGTATCTGTGGGAAGCAAATTAAGGAGACGAGGGTAGGAGGGTTACTTAGCGTTTTGGGACACAGCCGATGTGAGTGAAGGTGAATTTGTGCTGCTTCCAGTGACGGGTGTAAGGGTTGGCTGGCTGGCTGGTTGGCTTCACAACGGTGGGAACAACCTGTGAAAGGTTTCCACACAACATGTTCTGACAGTCCTACGTGCTTCCTATTCATTATATTTAACAACAAAAATACAACATACCCAGGTAGTGTACTCCTCTCTTTGTGACATAGTTTAGTATCTGCGTCACCCTCTAAAAAGCTCTCCCTATACGGGCCCTTTCTGTGTTCAGTTCCTTCCTTTCCTCACCGCTACATCCAAAGTTTTGTACAAAGGTTTTAAAGTTAATAATTCCTTTTTTATTTTATAATCTGAAAATGTTATGTTTTTATAAATATAATTTATTATACAATGTATATATCTGTATGACTGAACTAAGATTATATATTTGAAGAACAAATGACTGGCTCATGTTTTTGCTTCTTAGACAGAGGTACTTTTCTAATCATTGCAGTTTGTGAGCATCGATTCCTCTACGTTTCCTTACCAAATCATGTATATGGGCATTGTACATAACACTACTGAACTAATTTCTTAAATGGAAAGCTGTGATGGTGTTCCCAACTGTGATAGACAGTTATCCATCCTTACTAAATCGTACAATCCTTTCTATACTATAAATCAGAATGTCTCAATCTGCCCTAAAACACATCTGTGAAATGTCTAATTTGTTTCGGTCAAGCTAATTTCCCCATGATAATAGGTGAATGACAAGTAAATTACCACTGCATCTGCAGCGTCAATCAATAACACACATATTTATACACATATTCAGAAGAATACTGTATGACATTTTCATTAATACAATTACAACATGCCATAAAACATTTCTTACAGCATCCAAGACTTCATTACAAATAGATATTGGACAAAAAGCGCACTGGTCACTGCAAATAACGTATAGATCTGGTCAATATACATTTTAGCCAAATACATGTAAACTCAGTTTTTCACAATTCCTGACATTTAATCCTAGTAAAAATTCCCTTTCTTAAGTCAGTTAGGATCACCACTTTATTTCAGCTTTTATTTATTTCATCACATTCCCAGTGGGTCAGAAGTTTACATACACTCAATTAGTATTTGGTAGCATTGCCTTTAAATTGTTTAACTTGGGTCAAACGTTTCAGGTAGCCTTCCACAAGCTTCCCACAATAAGTTGGGTGAATTTTGGCCCATTCCTCGCCTGACGAAGCTTGGTGTAACTGATCATTTGTATGCCTCCTTGCCTGCACAATGCCTTTTCAGTTCTGCTGCCCACAAATGTTCTATAGAATTGATGTCAGGGCTTTGTGTTACCTTGACTTTGTTGTCCTTAAGCCATTTTGCCACAACTTTGGAAGTATGCTTGGGGCCATTGTCCATTTGGAAGACCCATTTGCGACCAAGCTTTAACTTTCTGACTGATGTCTTGAGATGTTGCTTCAATATATCCACATAATTTTCCTTCCTCATGATGCCATCTATTTTGTGAAGTGCACCAGTCCCTCCTGCAGCAAAACACCCCCACAGCATAATGCTGCCACCCCCGTGCTTCACGGTTGGGATGGTGTTCTTCGGCTTGCAATCAACCCCATTTTTCCTCCAAACATAACGATGGTCATTATGGCCAAACAGTTATACTTTTGTTTCATCAGACCAGAGGACATTTCTCCAAAAAGTATGATCTTTGTCCCCATGTGCAGTTGCAAACCGTAGTCTGGCTTTTTTATGGCGGTTTTGGAGCAGTGGCTTCTTCCTTGCTGAGCGGCCTTTCAGGTTATGTCGATATAGGACTCGTTTTACTGTGGATATAGATACTTTTGTACCTGTTTCCTCCAGCATCTTCACAAGGTCCTTTGTTGTTGTTCTGGGATTGATTTGCACTTTTTGCACCAAAGTAAGTTCATCTCCAGGAGACAGAACGCGTCTCCTTCCTGAGCGGTATGACGGCTGCGTGGTCCCATGGTGTTTATATTTGCATACTATTGTTTGTAGAGATGAATGTGGTACTTTCAGGCGTTTGGAATTTGCTCCCAAGGATAAACCAGACTTGTGGAGGTCTACAATTTTTTTTCTGAGGTCTTGGCTGATTTCTTTTGATTTTCTCATGATGTCAAGCAAAGAGGCACTGAGTTTGAAGGTAGGCCTTGAAGTACATCCACAGGTACACCTCCAATTAACTCAAATGATGTCAATTAGCCTATCAGAAGCTTCTAAAGTCATGACATCATTTTCTGGAATTTTCAAAGCTGTTTAAAGGCACAGTCAACTTAGTATATGTAAACTTCTGACCCACTGGAATTGTGATACAGTGAATTATAAGTGAAATAATCTGTCTGTAAACAATTGTTGGAAAAATTACTTAAACCAATTGTTGGACATCTACTTGTGTCATGCACAAAGTAGATGTCCTAACCGACTTGCCAAAACTATATTTTGTTAACAATAAATTTGTGGAGTGGTTGAAAAACAAGTTTTAATGACTCCAACCTAAGTATAAGTAAACTTCCGACTTAAACTGTATATACACTCAGGCCCGTTTATTAGGTACACCCCCCCCCCTTCACAAAAATGGTTAGCTCCTACAGACACGTGGCCTGGCTTGCTATATAAAGCAGGCAGACTGGCATTGAGGCATTCAGTTACTGTTCGATTTAACGTTAGAATGGGCAAAACGAGAGACCTAAGCGACTTTGAGCATGGTATGACCGTCGGTGTCAGGCGCCCAGTATCTCAGAAACGGCCAGCCTCCTGGGCTTTTCATGCACAACAGTGTCTAGGGTTTACAGAGAATGGTGCAACAAACAAAAAACATCCAGTCAGCGGCAGTCCTGTAGGCAAACACAGCTTGTTGACTGAGAGGTCGAAGGAGAATGGCAAGAATCGTGCAAGCTAACAGGCGGGCCACAAACAAGTCAGGATTTGGCGTAAGTAACATGAGTCCATGGCCCCATCCTGCCCGGTGTCAACGGTACAGGCTGGTGGCAGTGGTGTAATGGTGTGGGGAATGTCTTCCTGGCAAACGTCAGGTCCCTTGATAGTAATTGGGCAATGTTTCCATGCCCCAAAGAATTCAGGCAGTTCTGGAGGCAAAGGGGGGGTCCAACCCGGTACTAGATGGGTGTACCTAATAAACTGGCACTTGACTTGTCTGTGTTTATCTGAAAATAAATAACTGCATTGGAGTCATACAGTTTGTTAGGCATGCACACAGATGGGGAGAGAGAGAGGTGGTGCAATAATGTCTAATATTGACATTATCCCTTGTATTTTAGGGGGCAAACACTCAATAGAGTACCACAGTATGAGTCATAATACCCATAAACCCTAGAGGTCAAACAGGGAAATCGAGGCAAAGGTAAGAATCTCTGGATTAACTATATGTTAGCTAAATGTATACTGAACAAAAATATAAATGTAACATGCAACTATTTCAACGATTTTACAGAGTTACAGTTCATATAAGGAAATCAGTCAATTGAAATAAATTCATTAGGCCCTAATCTATGGATTTCACATGACTGGGCATAGGCCCACCCACTTGGGAGCCAGGCCCAGCCAATTTCCCCACAAAAGGGGACAGAAATACTCCTCAGTTTCATCAGCTGTCCGGTTGGCTGGTCTCAGATGATCCCCCAGGTGAAGAAGCCGGATGTGGAGGCCCTGGCCTGGCGTGGTTACAATGTGGTCTGCGGTTGTGAGGCCAGTTGGGCGTACTGCCAAATTCTCTAAAACGACATTGATGAACATTCAATTCTCTGGCAACAGCTCTGGTGGACATTCCTGCAGTCAGCATGTCAATTGCACGCACCCTCAAAACTTGAGACATCTGTGGCATTGTGTTGTGTGACAAAACTGCACATTTTAGAGTGGCCTTTTATTGTCCCCAGCACAAGGTGCACCTGTGTAATGATCATGCTGTTTAATCATCATCTTGATATGTCACACCTGTCAGGTGGATGGATCATCTTGGCAAAGGAAAAATGCTCACTAACAGGGATGAAAAAAAATTCTGCACAAAATCTGAGAGAAATAAGCTTTTTGTGCATATGGAACATTTCTGGAATATTTTATTTGAGCTCATGAAACATGGGACCAACGCTTACATTTCTTTAAATGGACAATTCTGTGAACTGTCTTGTGCATTTTTTAAATTGACACAATACCTGTTAGCAAAGGTATCTGCTAGAGATGACATGCAGGAGCTTGCAGGGATTTGAAGTTTTGCATGATGTCTACTTTAATGCTAATTAGCATTTTCGAATCAAAGAGTAAATAGAGCCGAATATATTGAGATTGACATGGTTATCAAAACGTCACACCAGGATAAGCCTACATGAAACACAGCCCTTATTTTAAGTGTTTCTAAAATCCCCTATGGGAAAAATGATGTTTTTTCTGTTTGCTACACAGGCTGAACGACAGCTCCCACAACCCAGAATTACTAGGAGAGGTGCACCAGTAACCACGAAGAGTAATAACGATATGCTTTACACACTTGTATAATACCTCCCCGTATCCGCTCTCTCTCCAGCCATCCACCAGCATTGAAATGTATGACAGAGGGTCTCCAGAGATCCTTCATAGAGAACAACAGCACGATACAGAAAAAATGTCAACAGTATCATCAGGCGTATGAGTGTTCGCACGTGTGTCTGTCTGAGTGGTCGGGGAGAGGTTCCCTTCTAAACTGGTCTTGGTCTGAAAATGAATCACTTTTTCCAGTTACTAGCTAATCAATATTAGTAACATGATTATTTATTCATAACAATTATTCATAAAACAAAGAGAGTGATGCACAAAACCTAATAGGACCAAAGTAAGTAGAGTTAAGATTAAGGCTTGGAACCATCATTTCCTGGAATGATTAGAAATCTATGCACGTAATATCGAGCACACCATACATGATGCAATTAATCAGTTTCACCATTATGTTGCGCATATTCAGCATATGATGCATTTATAGAGAAGTTTGACAGGTCAGTTATGCATACAATAAGAAAATCGCTTTGTCAAATGCATCATGCCAAATGTTGGAGTTGCATCAAAACTGAATAGGTCATCATATACACTGAGTGAACAAAACATCAGGAACACCTTCTCTTTCCATGACAGACTGACCAGGTGAAAGCTATTCCAGTTTCAACTGTTCTGCCTGCGGCTACGAAACCCCTACCTGTCCCAGACCTGCTGTTTTCAACTCTTAATGATCGGCTATGAAAAGCCAACTGAGAGACCTGAGCCCTAGGACCATACGTCGGGACTACCGGCCGTGGTGACTCCTTGCTGTCCCCAGTCCGCCTGGCCTTGCTGCTATTCCAGTTTCAACTGTTCTGCCTGCGGTTATGGAACCCCTACCTGTCCCAGACCTGCTGTTTTAAACTCTTAATGATCGGCTATGAAAAGCCAACTGAGATTTATTCCTGATTATTATTTGACCATGCTTGTCACTTATGAACATTTTTGAACATCTTGGCATGGTTCTGTTATAATCTCCACCCGGCACAGCCAGAAGAGGACTGGCCACCCCTCATAGCCTGGTTCCTCTCTAGGTTTCTTCCTAGGTTTTCGCCTTTCTAGGGAGTTTTTCCTAGCCACCGTGCTTCTACACCTGCATTACTAGCTGTTTGGGGTTTTAGGCTGGGTTTCTGTACAGCACTTCGAGATATTAGCTGATGTAAGAAGGGCTATATAAAATAAAATTGATTGATTGATTGATATGATCCCTTATTGATGTCACCGGTTAAATCCACTTCAATCAGTGTAGATGAAGAGGAGGAGAGACGTTAAAGAAGGATTTGAGACAGCCGTGAGACAGAAAATTGAGATATGGATTGTGTATGTTTGCCATTCAGAGGGTGAATGGGCAAGAACAAATATTTAAGTGCCTTTAAACGGGGTATGGTAGTAGGTGCCTGGCACACCAGTTTGAGTGTGTCAAGAACTGCAACGCTGGTGGGTTTTTCACGCTCAACTGTTTCCCGTGTGTATCAAGAATGGTCCACCACCCAAAGGACAGCCAGCCAACTTGACACAACAGTGTGAAGCATTGGAGTCAACATGGGCCAGCATCCCTGTGGAACGCTTTCGACACCTTGTTGAGTCCATGCACCAACGAATTTAGGCTGTTCTGAGTGCAAACGGGGGTGCAACTCAATATTAGGAAGGTGTTCCTAATGTTTCGCAAACTCAGTGTACATGGTTTTGCGTACACTTTTCTCGTCTCATGTTTAGTTATAAACATACATCAACTTTATTTTTGCTTTTTATACATAAAATCCCCTGGAGTGCTAGCAGCACAAATCACAACACTTTGAAAGAGTCTCAAATGGCACCCTATTCCTTAAACAGTGCACTTCTTTTGACCAGGGCCCATAGAGCTCTGGTCATAAAGTAGTGCACTATATAGGGAATAGAGCGTCATTTGAATCACAAGACTTTGCCTTCAGAAATAACAATTTAACACAGAACACTTAGTTTACACACACAGAGAAACAGTGCTGATGAGGAAGACGAGGAGGCTGGTCGATCGAGTTGCCATGGAAACACGCGGGACAGAGATTACGCGGCGAGCGTTTGCGATGGCCAGATTAGGCGGAGACATAAAATCTCTCGCTCACTATCTTGCCGGTCGCACCCGGGCTTCCACTCCTCGGCCACTGAGGGTAAAAGACAGAATAAAAGTTAGAAGAGCAGGAAGGAAGAGAAAATTGAAGAATAAGCTCATTTTCTTCCATCCCTACTCTAACACGCCCCTGCTCTACACTCTGTTCAAGTACTTACTATGAGAGGCAGCTACTGCTGGGCAATGCAGCTCCACCATTGGCTTAGCTGGCTATGTGCTTGTCAGAACCCAGCCTGTGAGGAGGAAGGAAACATACATTAATTAAAACAGTCAACCAACTAAACACAGTCAACCACAATTAGGTGGTGTGAGATTGGGGACAAAACAGAATAGTGCTCTACTTACGCTCCCTGTTCTCTCAGCAGGGACAAGAACTTACTAACTCTGTATTCAGGATCCATCTGGAAGACACACACACGTTAGCTCTCTGTGCATATGTCCATACATTGGCATACATTGTTTATATAGCCTCCTTTCCTATAAACTTGTTGAAAAGTACAGGCCCGGGGCCGGCACAGCAAAGGTTCACGTAGGGCTGTCTGTAATTGTCTGGGAAGGTGTGAGTGGGTGGCTTGGGGGGGGGGGGGGGGGGGGGGGGGGGGGGGTATTGGATCAACTGTAGGATAACAGGATGGAGTGATAAATCTGGTGATCTGGACAGCAGCAAGAGTCTTATGTCTGTTAGCGAGGGGGAGATCCAGCTCTGAGAGAGAGGGGCTCACAGAAACAATGTTATGTAACAATGCAGATATGTGGTAGCATTCAACTATGGTCATCTTGACTATGGCGTATTTATGATGGATATACAGCCAGTTTATTAGGTACACCATCCAGTTCACGAAAAATGGTGGCTGTGGCTTGCTATATAAAGCAGGCAGACAGGCATCGAGGCATTCAGTTATTGTTCAATTGAACGTTAGAATGGGAAAAACGAGAGACCTAAGCAACTGAGCGTGGTATGATCGTCGGTGTCAGGCGCCCAGTATCTCAGAAACAGCCAGCCTCCTGGGCTTTTCACGCACGACAGTGTCTAGGGTTTAAAGAGAATGGTGCAACAAACTAAAAACATCCAGTCAGCGGCAGTCCTGTGGGCAAAAACAGCTCGTTGATGAGAGGTCAAAGGAGAATGGCAAAAATCGTGCAAGCTAACAGGTGGGCCACAAACAGGCAAATAACGGTGCAGAACGGCATCTCGGAACTCACAACTCGTTGATCCTAGTCATGGATGGGCTATTGCAGCAGACGACCACACTGGGTTCCACTCCTATCAGCTAAAAACAAGAAGAAGCATCTCCAGTGGGCACGCGATCACCAACACTGGACAATTGAAGAGTGGAGAAACATCCCCTGGTCCGACGAATCCCAGTTCCTGCTGCGTCATGCTGATGGCAGAGTCAGGATTTGGCGTAATCCTGCCTGGTGTCAACGGTACAGGCTGGTGGCGGTGGTGTAATGGTATGGGGAATGTTTTCCTGGCACACGTTAGGTCCCTTGTTACCAACTGAGCAACGTTTCTATGCCCCAAATAATTCAGGCTGTTCTGGAGGGGGGTCCGACCCAGTACTAGATGGGTGTACCTAATAAACTGGCCACTGAGTGTATATGATTGATTTGGACTGAACACGATTAGCTGTGTTACATAAAAGAAGTGGAATTTCAGACATTACCTCGAGTTCATGCTTTTCTATTGAGGAAACAGGATTTGAAGGGGAGGGGATTGGGTAAGAAAAGAACATGCACCCCTCTAGGGGTTGTTTCTGGACGGGGCCTAAGAGAGTAACAACCCTCACAACAGTAGATAAGACGTTTCCAAGGTGCGATGTGATCTTTATGTGTGGCATCCCTCTACTAGTCAGAGCATGTGAACACATAAGACAGGGAAGTATGCGGAGAACTATAGCAATTACATTTTTGGGGCTTACCACACAAATCATTGTTCAATCCAAACTTGTTTTAATGAAAGGTCGTAATTAACGGCAGGTTGTTTAAACTGAAACCAGACGGGATTCCATCTGTGACTCCCTAGACTGTGGTTGTCTAGGCCGTGTTTCTCCAACTCCCGCTCTGGAAGAGCTAAAGGGTGGGTGTAGGCTTTTGTTCCTGCCTAGCAGTAACACACCTGAACACGCTAATCGTGGTCCAGATTGAAGAAGGCCATAATTAGGTGATTATTTGATGGTTAGTGCTGGGCTGGAATAAAAATGTGTCAACTAAACCGGGGCTTTGTCTCTCTCACCTGCACAGCCATCTCGATGACCATCGTCAGCTTCTTGATGCCGATCGACACGTCCTGGCTCTTCACCGCCTTGGCAATGGCTGCCCGCTCCTTCTCCTGGAAACTACCCAGCATCTACAGCAGACAGAAAAGCAATTTAAAAACTCAAGCAACAAATCCATCACTATTTGTCACAACTTTAAAACCGGAGAGCAAGGAACATACATTTCCGTGTATGTGTGCGTGTGCGGTGTGTGAACGAGTGTGTGTGTGAGCGACTGTGTATGTGCCTACCTCCAGAGCTTCAACCAGCTGCTCTCCTCTGGAGATGTTTGGGATGTGGATGGTGGTACTGAAGGCATCCAGCATCTCCATTTCCTGCAGCACGTCCTTCCTGCTGGTGGTGCCAATGATCAGCAGCTTACGGCCCTGTGTGGGGGGAAAACACGTGATGGAGATGAAAATTAAGCTCAGTGCCAGCCAGAGCATCCTGTACCATATCATGTACGGAAGTGTATCAAACCCTTTTTAAAACGGCGTGCTTCACATCATCAACATCAATGGGTATAGGGACATTTGTCTGAAAAGGTGGGGTCCCTACTGCCTAATATGAGCCTTGTGGATTTTTATCAACCTTATGCATTTTTATTAAGCTTGTTTCTGTTAAGTCTCTGTCAGTCTCTCCACGGTGGACCACCTCTACATAGCTGCTTTAGTCTAGGTGACTCAATCAGGAAAGAGGCTGGTTTCTTTCTCCAGAGGCCCTAGTCGCTCGTTCGGGGCCAGAGGAGAGGAGAGAGGGGGATTATGGGCTGGCTGCCCCCCATGGTGCGGAGGGGGTGTGCCCATGCATGCAGATGAGGTACCACACAGGCGGCGGTGCTGCCAGGTCCCCCCCGGTCTCTCTCACAGAGCCCATTCTCCTCAGTTGTCCCCCCCCCCCCTCGAGGCAGGCCTCTCCTGGCCTCACCCCGGCCGGGCTCCCCGCTGGGCCTGGAGCTTCACAAGCCTGGAGAAACAGCCCCGGCTCCCATTCACACCCAGCACAACAGCCTGCCTGGACCAATACATTATCATACTCATTGACAAACATTTACAGCTGAACGTAGCCTAGGCCTACTGCCTTAAATGCAGTAGCGGCTTACATTCAGGAGATATAGCTCACACGCACAGAAACCCAGTGGTAAAGCTGTACACTGTCCCACAACTAGGATACACTATGATTCACTCTGCATGGAAATGACTTTCATTACTGGGGGCATCAGTACGATCTGCTGACATCTGTCTGCCACTGGCAAAATGACAACTAGAGCATAAGCACAGAAACATTTCAATGCTTAGAGTAAACACACACACTCTCTCTCACACACACACACGCAAACACATATTCAAGTAAGTGCCGCAGTCCACAGAATACTGACTTTGGGAGGGGGTTTCTTGAGGAGAACCAGTAGAGCTTGAAGGACCATGTTTGAGAAACGAGGGCCAATCGGAACATAATCTGAGAACAAGAACAAGGTTCACAAAGAGAGAAGGAGAATTTAGAATAAATATTCCGACCTCATCTGTGGACTTCTACCATCAAAGTGATGCTTGGGTGGAAAACAGAAGAGCATGGTTTTCCAACACATGGTTCTTTGAGAAGGTCGGAAGCAAACTGCCCAGTGTTTAATGTATGTTACAACCCTGAACTTAAAAGGAAACTTTTTAAAAGGAAACTTTTAAAAATGAAAAGAAGAATAGTGTAACCACAATGCCAGCAGGACCTTACCCAGCAAGCGTTCAATGTCATCCACCACTACACAGCTCAGCTGGGACTTGTAGGCATCTTCAAATATCTGGAACAAAGAGGGTGGTCAAGACACAGGTACTGACACAGGTTTGTGTGTGTGTGTGTCCCTTTCCTCACCTTCTTGATGGCCTGGCACTTAGCGATTTCGGAGTGACCGATCATCTTGTCAGGAGAACAGATCTTTATAAAGGGAAACTGGGATTCCTCTGAGATCTTAGCTGCTAGAGCCGTCTTTCCACTGTTGGGGGGACCTAGGAGAGCGCATAGCATACTATATATACCGCCATACTGTATTTTGAACCAAAGGACATCTTAATGACATGATTATTTGAATAAATATTTTTATAAATATTATACTTTATTATCAGTTTGCTTAAATATATTTTTCGGCTCTTATAATGCCAAACGTCAAATAACTATGGGAAATTGATTTCTTTTATATATCTTTATTTTACCATCTTCATGCTAGTGTCCCTTTTAGCATTAAAACTTTAATTAAATACTATAGAACATTGTAACAGTTGTTGGTGCCATTGCTTGTCTTTGTGTCTGTGACTTACCTTTCTTTCATTAACACTTGCCTTTTCCTACAAGAACTGACTTTGCTGAGAGCTGCTTTGTTGAGGGAAGCTTTACATACTATGACTGTGAGATGTGTTTGTCGTCCCCAGCTACCTTAAGATGAATGCACTAACTAAGTCGATCTGGATAAAAGTGTCTGCTAACTGATTCAAATGTAAAAATTGTAAGTGTGTGTGTGTGTCTCTCTTACCCTCCAGTAGCACAGACACCAGTGGTGTGCGGTCGCTGTTCTTGGTCTGCTGCACCAGCAGCTCCCCGTCATCCAGCACAGCCGTCACCGGGTCGCCCCACTTAATGATGCCGTTCATGATGTAGCTGGCATAGTCCTCCGAGTTGGTACCAAATGCCTGGCACACAGAGAGAGAGAGAGAGAGCGAGAGAGAGAGAGAGAGATCCACTAAACCAGGGTTCCCAAATAGGAAGCCTGCTGGCCAAATTCAGCCCACGTGTGATTTTATTTATCCCCCCCCCCAAGTTTTCTGATTAAAAAATGTTTGTTCTTGAACATAGAAGACTGTAAAATCACCAGGAAATGAGCTCAAAGTGATAATGAAGGAAAAAGTTCCCAAGTATTCCCACGCATAAATAAAGAGGCATATGTGATTGCATCCCAATGTAATCAAGGTTTGAAATGATTCTGTTTTTGTCAAATACTATATCTGTTTGGGATTATTGCGGTCAATTTGCAGTGTACAAATTATTTATTACTATGTTCTGGCCAACCGACCATCTGCTCAAAGAAAAATCGTCCCATAGCTGAATGTAATAGGGGACCCTTGCACTTAACCTTCCACAGCCTTAAAGAGTCCCTTATTAAAATCACTTCTTAAAAATTCTGAAAATGATTTTAAAAAATCTAATTCCCTGCGTATACTGGACATTGCCATCAACTGGAAGTGATTATGAAATTGTTGGAAGTCCAAATGTTGGAGGAGGACTTTTGGATGTAGGCAATTGTAAAGAGAGAGGGCTGGAGAATGGTAGAGTGAGAGGGCTGGAAAATGGTAAAGAGAGAGGGCTGGAGAACGGTAAAGAGAGAGGGCTGGAGAATTGGAAAGAGCGAGGGCTGGAGAACAGTAAAGCGATGGAGGAAGGAAGGAGTCTACTCACAGGTTTGATGTCGTTGTCCAGTGAGGCCAGGAAGTCGTCTCTGTGGACCTGCAGATTCTCAGCCTTCTCCAGGTCCACCTCCACGGTGGCACTGGCCTGCAGGGGGACATGTTATTAGGATGGTTCAATACAGATGGTTAATAATAATGTTCAACTAACTATAAACAAACTGTTCGACTAACTTTAACGCTAAACCCTTACCCTAGATTATTAATAGCTCAGTGATATCGAGGAGTATAGACAAAATGTTAGAGATAATCATTGATCAGTATCGTATCTACCTTAATTTAGTCCTGTAACGATGACAAGGTAATAGTGTTGTTGGTTTGGACTTTTAGGTCTTACTGATTTAGCCCACACACACACACCCACAGCCAGATTAAGCGAGGTGCTAGTCTGTTAAGTGGTCTGCCCCCCACCACACTCCTGGACCATATTAGAGGGTGATGACATGGACAGACAAGGGCTTACACAGGTGCAATGGCTGGAGGGCTCCCTCCCTCTGTCCTCATCACCCGTTTTCTCCCTCCCTCCCCCTCGTCCACCCAGACCAGAGTTGTCTGACCTTTCCATTCTGAGGGAGCACTTTGTCTCATGACTGATTGTGAAATACCTACGAGACCTACAGCCTCTTAACGCATAAAGATTGTTAGTTGTAGAGTTAATGTTGAGTAGGAGAGAAAAATATCTAGGCCAGGGCTGCCCAACCCTCTTTCTGGAGCTCTACCATCCTGTAGGTTTTCAGTTTAACCCTAACCTAACATACCTGAAATGACTACTTAAGGTCTTGGTGAGCAGCTAATAAGTAGAATCAGGTGTGCTAAATTAGGGTTGGACTGAAAACCTACAGGACGTTAGATCTCCAACCAAGAGGGTTGGGCAGCTCTGATCTAGGCTAATGAAAATGGCCGACTGTGTGTGATAGTGACCTTGATATGTCGGTTCATGGCGGTGGACTGGGCAGCTCTGACCAGCCCCTCCAGCTCGGCTCCGCTGTAGTTCTTGGTCTCAGCGGCCAGCTCGCTGACGTCCACGTCACTTCCCAGCAGGTTGAACTGACGCATCTTAGCCGTGTGGATGTTGAGGATCTGGACACGCCCCTTCTCATCAGGCAAACCTGGGGGAGGAAGAGAGAGGGGAAACGTTGTGTGTTTTTTACAGTGTAACTGCATACTGTACAAGGGATGGACAAGTTGAAATGTCTGGGTGTTGGTTGTCATGTAAACGGTACAACATCTATGAATAAGAATGTCTTTCTCAGAAGAAAATAAACTACCTGAAAACAAACTAAAACCTGAATACAGTAACCGAACAAAAATCAAGCCAGGTCTTTGGTTAGGCTGGATGCTTTGTGGTGTACTACGTTGTGCTTTCTTACCGATCTCCATTTTGACTTCCAACCTGCCTGGTCTCAACAAGGCCTCGTCTATCAGGTCCGGCCTGTTGGTCATTCCTAAGAGGCACAGATGAGGGAGAAGGAGAGGGAGGATGAGATGGAGGGAGAAGGAGAGGGAGGATGAGATGGAGAGAGGGAGAGATGGAGAGTGAGATGAGAGGAGGTGAGATGGAGAGAGAAGGAGAGAAGGGAGGATGAGATGGAGATGAGATAGAAGGGAGAGAGAGGAATGAGATGGAGAGGAGAGAGGAGAGGATGGATGGATGAGAGAGGATGAGATGGGAGACGATGGGAGGAGAGAGCGGGAGAGGAGATAGAGCGGAGGGGCGCTGCGTGGCGGTCGCGATGGGGTCGGCCGCGCGGCAGGCTCTGCAGTGGAGGACGGCGGAGCGGGGATGCGCTGGCAGGCGGCGAGGGTGGCTTATGGGCGAGCGGGCGTGCTACTGGAAGGGCGGCTGCTGATGGGCCGCGAAGGAGGGAGGATGGATGGACGAGGGAGGATGAGATGGAGAGAGAAGAGAGGGAGGGCAAGAAAGGCATAGCTCAGATAATCCCGCTCATCTTCTCAGAGCACAACTCGACCGGTCAGTCAAGCAGACAGTGGCTGTACTACCTACTATTTAGAAAGTACTGTTTAGTAAAAACCTTTGCAGTAAGCTACTCAACCATACTGAAAAGGCGTAATCTAATGTGCAATCCCGCTTGTTGCGCGGCATTTACCGTATTCATTTTTGTAGAGTGTCCCCTATTCTGCCCCCTATTGATTAACTGATCTTATAAACTGGTTGGTTCGAGCCCTGAACGCTGATTGGCTGACAGTCGTGGTATGTCAGACCATATACCATGGGTATTACAAAACATTTATTTTTACGGTTCTAATTACATTGGTAACCAGTTTATAATAGCAATAAGGCACCTCAGGGGTTTGTGGTATATGGCCAACATACCACGGCTAAGGGCTGTATCCAGGCACTCCGCGTTGCGTCGTGATTAAGAACAGCCCTTAGCCATGGTATATTGGCCATATACCACACCCTCTCGGGCATTATTGCTTAATTATACTAAACAAAGATAAATAACTTACATTTTTCTAAACTAATCGAATCTGTAAGTGGTTGGACTTTTTGCAACCATTCGGAGATGGTTGTTCCAGTTTAGATGGTTTAGGTAGTCTTGTTTGACAAGCTCTTCACCATAGAAGTCGTTCTGAATGCAGGTTGTGGGTATTACAAAGTTCCAATTGTTGAATATCCTCTCTCTGGCTGGATTCCAATAGGAATTACAAATGACTTCACTAGCCAGCATATTGTGACTTGCAGATCTGATATGGCCCATGAGCCAGGATCATCAGACCACAATGTTAGGGGAAAACTAGGCCATAACTAAAGGCCTTATGAAATGTCTAATATATGGTCATAAATGGTTTACTTTTTATTCAAACACATTCACTTAGGCAGTCACTTGGTAAAGGTTTCAGGACTAGAAGTTATTGACTGCAAAAAACATGTCTCTGTCACTAACAAACACAGTCATGGGTCGGTATGTCTAACATTCACTTGAAAGGCATGCTGGGAAATTTGTAAATAAGGCTCTACACCCTACAATGTTAAAACACCCCCCAAAATTACTTTACCACTACTAAGTGTTAATTTAAAGCTGCAGTATGTAACTTTTTGGGCGACCCGACAAAATTCACATAAAAATGTGTGTTCTGGCTCTGTCATTCTCATTGAAAAAAAGTCTAGAAGTGGTAGATCTGTTCTATGTGCGCTATTTCTATGTTTCCCATTTTAAAGTTTTGTTTTTGCGTCTTTTACTTTCGGGTTTGTACACCAGCTTCAAACAGCTGAAAATACAATATTTTTGGGTTATGGATAATATATTTCACAGAGATTTAGATAGTACAAGGATTCTCTACACTATACTTACTTGTTTCGGTAGATAAACTGAAATTAGACGAACTATTAGAATTTTTGCAACCAGGAAATGGTGGAGCGATTTCTGCATAGTGCATCTTTAAGTCGGAATTTGCAACACCCACAGTTAGGGACCCCAGCACTTTGAAAAGTGTTACTTTAACACAATTTCAGTAGGTCACATACAGTGGGGAAAAAAAGTATTTAGTCAGCCACCAATTGTGCAAGTTCTCCCAGTTAAAAAGATGAGAGAGGCCTGTAATTTTCATCATAGGTACACGTCAACTATGACAGACAAATTGAGGAAAAAAAATCCAGAAAATCACATTGTAGGATTTTTTATGAATTTATTTGCAAATTATGGTGGAAAATAAGTATTTGGTCACCTACAAACAAGCAAGATTTCTGGCTCTCACAGACCTGTAACTTCTTCTTTAAGAGGCTCCTCTGTCCTCCACTCGTTACCTGTATTAATGGCACCTGTTTGAACTTGTTATCAGTATAAAAGACACCTGTCCACAACCTCAAACAGTCACACTCCAAACTCCACTATGGCCATGACCAAAGAGCTGTCAAAGGACACCAGAAACAAAATTGTAGACCCGCACCAGGCTGGGAAGACTGAATCTGCAATAGGTAAGCAGCTTGGTTTGAAGAAATCAACTGTGGGAGCAATTATTAGGAAATGGAAGACATACAAGACCACTGATAATCTCCCTCGATCTGGGGCTCCACGCAGGATCTCACCCCGTGGGGTCAAAATGATCACAAGAACGGTGAGCAAAAATCCCAGAACCACACGGGGGGACCTAGTGAATGACCTGCAGAGAGCTGGGACCAAAGTAACAAAGCCTACCATCAGTAACACACTACGCCACCAGGGACTCAAATCCTGCAGTGCCAGACGTGTCCCCCTGCTTAAGCCAGTACATGTCCAGGCCCGTCTGAAGTTTGCTAGAGTGCATTTGGATGATCCAGAAGAGGATTGGGAGAATGTCATATGGTCAGATGAAACCAAAATATAACTTTTTGGTAAAACTCAACTTGTCGTGTTTGGAGGACAAAGAATGCTGAGTTGCATCCAAAGAACACCATACCTACTGTGAAGCATGGGGGTGGAAACATCATGCTTTGGGGCTGTTTTTCTGCAAAGGGACCAGGACAACTGATCCGTGTAAAGGAAAGAATGAATGGGGCCATGTATCGTGAGATTTTGAGTGAAAACCTCCTTCCATCAGCAAGGGCATTGAAGATGAAACGTGGCTGGGTCTTTCAGCATGACAATGATCCCAAACACACCGCCCGGGCAACGAAGGAGTGGATTCGTAAGAAGCATTTCAAGGTCCTGGAGTGGCCTAGCCAGTCTCCAGATCTCAACCCCATAGAAAATCTTTGGCGGGAGTTGAAAGTCCGTGTTGCCCAGCGACAGCCCCAAAACATCACTGCTCTAGAGGAGATCTGCATGGAGGAATGGGCCAAAATACCAGCAACAGTGTGTGAAAACCTTGTGAAGACTTACAGAAAACGTTTGACCTGTGTCATTGCCAACAAAGGGTATATAACAAAGTATTGAGAAACTTTTGTTATTGACCAAATACTTATTTTCCACCATAATTTGCAAATAAATTCATAAAAAATCCTACAATGTGATTTTCTAGGAAAAAAAGTATCCTTTTGTTGGTCATAGTTGACGTGTACCTATGATGAAAATTACAGGCCTCTCATCTTTTTAAGTGGGAGAACTTGCACAATTGGTGGCTGACTAAATAAAAAAATTCCCCACTGTATACACACACTAAGAAACTGTTGAATTTAACACTGTGGGTGTTACAATTCTGATCTCAAATTTGCTATGTATTTAGAACGCAAGTATAAGTATTCGGCCTGTATGGCCTGTATGTGTGTATGTGTTTCTGTGCACGCGTATGTGTATGCGCACGTATGTGTGTGTGTATGCTCATGTATATGTGTGTGTTTACCTATGACCAGGATATTGTTGAGCTGCTCTACTCCGTCTATCTTGGACAGCAGCTGGTTGACCACTGTGTCGTGGACGCCCGTGCTGCCCGCCATGCTGCCACGCTGCTTACAGATGGCGTCGATCTCATCAAAGATGATGATGTGCAGCCCACTGTTGGCGCCCAGCTATGGGAAGCAGAGAGATATGGGTGAATGAAGGAGAAGGAAGGATACCAATGGTCTCACACAGTATATTTTTTATTTATTTTTATTTTTCACCTTTATTTAACCAGGTAAGCCAGTTGAGAACAAGTTCTCATTTACAACTGCGACCTGGCCAAGATAAAGTAAAGCAGTGCGATAAAAACAACAACACAGAGTTACATATGGGGTAAAACAAAACATAAAGTCAAAAATACAACAGAAAATATATATACAGTGTGTGCAAATGTAGCAAGTTAGGGAGGTAAGGCAATAAATAGGCCATAGTGCAAAATAATTACAATTAGTATTAACACTGGAACGATAGATGTTCAAGAGATGATGTGCAAATAGAGATACTGGGGTGCAAATGAGCAAAATAAATAACATATGGGGATGAGATAGTTGGGTGGGCTAATTTCAGATGGGCTGTGTACAGGTGCAGTGATCGGTAAGGTGCTCTGACAACTGATGCTTAAAGTTAGTGAGGGAGATAAGAGTCTCCAGCTTCAGAGATTTTTGCAGTTCGTTCCAGTCATTGGCAGCAGAGAACTGGAAGGAATGGCGGCCAAAGGAGGTCAATGCAGTGCTAACTAGGGAGAGTATGTAGAATGTCTACCACTCGCAGCCGTGTCTTCTCTGGGCTAAATTCTCCTTGGTGTGACCAGAGTGAAAACTAAAACCCTTTCAAAGCCTCCACATCCTCCCTCTGCTCTGGCATGGAGGGACAGAGTCTGCCCAAACAGAGAAAGAGAGAGAGAGAGAGACAGAGAGAGAAAGCGAGAAAGCGAGCGAGCGAGAAAGTGAGAGAGAGAAAGCGCAAGAAAGCGAGCGAACGAGAGAGAAAGTGAGAGAAAGCGAGAGAAAGCGAGAGAGAGAGAGATAAAGCGGTAGAGAGAGATAAAGCGAGAGAATGCGAGAGAGAAAGTGAGAGAGTGCGTGCGAGAGAAAGAGAGAGCGCGAGGTAAGAGACCGAAAGCAAGAGATAGAGAGAGCAGGGTGGGGGGTTATCTGTCCATCTCTGGCCCTGTCAGTCTCCAGACATAGCATTTAAAGCAGGTGTGGAGCTGGGCTTATTGTGGGCTAGGTGAGAGAGGGGGACAGAGAGGGGGGCAGAGATAACCCAGCACCTCATTAGGTGGTGAGGAGTGAGGCCGTCACTGTCACACCGGCGTCACCATGGGGGCTCAATACACAACTGTCCCCCAGTATGGAGAAACCCAATGACTTTTCCACCGTTATTATTACTAATATGCCTCCTTAAAGGGCAAATCAATCTTCTGCAGGATAAATGAGCTTCTCCGTGTGGAAATGTGTGATGTTTATCTGTGTTTCGTGGAGTAGGCTGCATATTGGCCTGAGGATAAGGAATCCATTTAGTATGACATCTATTTGATTGACTCGTTATCAGGTATGTTGTGCTTGATAACCACAGGAGTAATTGCATTGAAGGTACTGGGTGTATTTAATGACATACACAGTTGATTTACTGGTGTGTGTGTATGATTTTTTCCTCTCACCCTCTTCTGCTCGTCCTCTGCGTCGGCGAACAGCTTCCTGATGTTGGCCTCGGATTCTCCCACGTACTTGTTGAGGATCTCAGGGCCGTTGACCACCTTGGGCTCGCGGGCGTTCAGCATCTTCCCAATCTGCCTGGCCATCAGAGTCTTACCACAGCCAGGAGGCCCGAACAACAGGATGCCCTTCACGTGCTTACAGCCTGCCAGGGAGGGACAGAGACAAAAAGTTAATAAAAACACATCAGACTTGGTGTGAATGGTTTATGTGCGTCACAATCGTATCAGTCGGTGAGAAAAGGCCTTAAGCGACTTTAGCACTCTATACTTCCAGGGGCTATTTCTCCAATGCATTGTTTGAGGTGACTTTTGCCTTAAAGTCATTATCCGATCTCATCTCTGATTCATGTCAAACCCACATATGAAAAATTCCCAAGGTACTTAAAGTTCACAGGTTCAATTTGTGAGAATGAGCAGGAAAAACCAGATGAATCGGCTAGATTTACTGCATCTACTGCTATGACTCAATACAAGTTGACTCTGTGGTGTGTTTCTTATAAAGATCAAGTCTTGTGATTAGACTCAACCAATTTGGAGCAGTTTTGGGTCTAGTCTGAAACCCAGACTACATTGGTCCTAGTAGCTTTTTGCACCTGTTTAGTGACATTTGCTCCCGACTCATCGAGGGGCCAGAGATAAACATCGGCCCTGTCATTTTTACCTGCTAAAGGGGAGACAGTCAGGGGTAGTGAGGAGGGG